TCCAAAATCGACGAAGTAGCAAATATTTTATTTAACAATTAGGTGTCGCGAGAATGAATGTGCTTTTTAACGCTGCTGCAAACGGCTTATTTATCCAACTTAACTTCACTCACCTGACTGTTTATGATTGTTATAGGAGCTTTATCAGCTCATTGTCTTATTATTCACAAACGGCCATTCTCAGTACGATCGCGAGCAGAACTAAACGTTCGGTCGTGTTTCAACTCATTGAGTTCTGTTTGACAGTCAGAGCTCCGATTAAGCACTGAACTGATTCTACTTATTCAGAAGTGAAAATAATTGCTCATCCCATCACTATAACTGTTTTTAACACGATATCGTTCATATGTTTTCCTTTGCTTTCACGTCCTTTACATCTCAAACTGTGAATGATGCAGATACTTTATTATTTACTTAATTTATGTTTACTTTAAGTGACTTTGAACTACCCTGATAAGACAGATCTGTATTATGGAAGATTATTTTATATGATATGAAAGCTTAGGACATGGAGAGGCTGAACTGAAGACAGGAACAGGAAGTGACATGTGAAGAGGAAAAGAGAAAAGAAGCCAGAGGATTATGAGCAGACCTTGAGTAAGTGTGTGTGTGTGTGTGTGTGTGTGTGTGTGTGTGTGTGTGTGTGTGTGTGTGTGTGTGTGTGTGTGTGTGTGTGTGTGTGTGTGTGTGTGTGTGTGTGTGTGTGTGTGTGTGTGTGTGTGTGTGTGTGTGTGTGTGTGTGTGTGTGTGTGTGTAGTAACATGGTGAGTGGTTCTGGTCGGCCCGTCCTATTGGTCAGCAGGGATGCATGAATGCATTGAAGCTGATGTGATTGGCTCTGACAGTGACATTGCATGACATTGACACTGCTCTTTATGAAGGTGAGGACTGAGACCCCAGGGCTTCCACTGTGTGTGTGTGTGTGTGTGTGTGTGTGTGTGTGTGTGTGTGTGTGTGTGTGTGTGTGTGTGTGTGTGTGTGTGTGTGTGTGTGTGTGTGTGTGTGTGTGTGTGTGTGTGTGTGTGTGTGTGTGTGTGTGCATCATGCTATGTGGCTGGACACTGAAGGTGGAGACAGATGTGCTTAAGGTGCAAAAACACACACACACACACACACACACACACACACACACACACACACACACACACACACACACACACACACACACTCTGAGAGGGAGCTCCTAGGGGTGCACTGAGTCATTGTTTGGAGGGTGCTGTGACAGCTGAGCAGAGCTTTTTCTCTCTCAGATGAATCCTCGCTCTCTATTGATCCCTCTGAGCAGAACAACACGGAGGGTGAAGTGCACTTTGAAAACACATGCAAACACACACACAGGAAGTCATATAGTGTGCACTGACGTTGACTGATGGAGCGAGCGAGCCTGCTGAGGGGCAGGCTGCAGAGAAGCACAGGTGAGGTGAGGTGAGTGAAGAATATGTAGAAGAGGAGTTTAAAATAAGAAGAGTTGAAACAAGGTCAGAAAAAGTAACAGGAGCTAGAAGGGCGGAGAGGATGAAACTACACCGCCAACATTTGAGAGAAAGGATATGAAGAAGTAAAAGTAAAAGTCTAATCTTCATGTAACAAATAAATAATTGATAATTTTCACTGAGACACTGAGAAGGGGACGTTTTCTGCCTTTATTTTAGAGACAGGAGAGTGGATAGGAGAGAGAGAGAGGGGAATGACATGCTAGAAAGGAGCCGCAGCTCTCACACATCTCTCTCTTTCCCTCTGTTCTGACACCTGTATGAGACACTCGTTGGAGAGAGAGAGAGAGAGAGAGAGAGAGAGAGAGAGAGACAGAGAGAGAGAGAGAGAGAGAGAGAGAGAGAGATTATTTACTTTCATTTACGGATCGAGGATGGCGATCTAATAGAGATAAAAAGGAAAACTGTAAAAAATTAAAAGCCTATGGGAAACACTGTTTAAAGGTCCCATATCATGCCTTTTCTGGTTTTATATGCTCTTTAGTGTGTTTTCCAAGTGTCCTGTGCATGTTTAGGCACATCTATGAATTGAATTGAATCTATGTGCAAAAATTAAAAGTCTGTGGAAACATGGCTTCTCCTACGTCCTCCTGTTAGCTGTAGCATTAGCTGCATGTAAGGCTTGGTTCTAGCTCCCTCGATAAAAATTTGTCAGTGGTCTTGTCAGTGTGAGATCACTGATCTAAGCCCATTGGCTCATTGTGGCAAGCCCTGCAGCTCATGTTGAAATTTCCAAGACGCGTGCTGAGCATCTGACCAATAACGACAGAGCAGATCGGCAGACCAATCAGAGCAGACTTGGCCCACGTGGGGTCTAACAGTGTGGGCTCAGCAGAGTGCAGCTGACGGACTCAGAGCATAGAGGGAGCAAGGAGGAGCAGTACATGAAAACAGACACTTTTTTCAAACTTTATCTATTGTGAATGTACAAAAGTAGCTACATAGATTAAATATACGAACCCCAAAAAGGGCATAATATGGGCTCTTTAACAGTATGTGTTCATACCATGGTCTGCGTGAATACTTGATTCTGATTGGCTGAAGGGTGTCATGTGGGTGTCCATTAACTTTTGATATATTGACACCTAGGGAAGTAGTTCCAGTTGCAGTCTGTTCAGTGTTCCAAATGAATGCGCTGCAGACTGTAGGCTCTTTAAGATGAGTAACCGTGGCAACATAACACTAACCTACAGACTATATGGAAATAGGGAGTATGAGCTTTTGACCCGTCATTAAAACTTCCCTTTGTGCGACTATTCCGATTGGCTGATGGGCTTCACTGTGCTTACCGGCCTCACAGCTTCTATCAAAGCTCTGGTACCTGGTGCAACACAGACCTCCCACCACTGCCCCCCCTACATGTTCTTTTCCTCCTGAGCTGTTTTGTGTGAACACTCAGTCGGTGTGTGGCCACACCTGAAGAGGAAACAGAATGTAAGGTGAGAATTTATGAGGAGAGAAGAAGTCCAGAACAGGAGATGTGAAGAGGAGTCTGGGGCGGGACGAGGAGAAAGCGAGGTGAGAATAAGAAATGTGGATGAAAGGAGGGAAGATGAAAGGCGAGCAGCAAAGAACGGGAAGAGGAGAGCGAAGGTGAGGTGAGGTAAAGAGAGAACAGTGGAGAAGAAATGATGAAAGGAGAGGAGAGGGCACGGGGCACGGGAGGAAGGATGGAAGTTAAAAAGCAGACTTGCAGGAAACGTGTGTGTTAAGCTTCCTTCAAGGCAGGAAATGTGAGAGTGTGTCTGTGGATCGTGACTGTGTGATGCCTCACACCTCCTCTCTAAAGCCTTATCACGCTTTGTTTCAAACTCCATCCCCCCGTCTGTCTCACTCTTTTAACTTCCCTTTGCCTCTCACGCCAGGCTCAGCGGTGCCAGCGTATCAGTGGCCTCTGAATTACAGCTCCTGTACCTTCTCCCTGCAGGTCTCCCTGATAACGCTGCTCTTTCATTTCACTTGATTTCATTATTTCCTCTGCCGACATTTCTCAAGCTTTTGAAGAGCAATAAGAAGCAGTATCAGAGAGGAATATAGAGGAATCTGTCCCATCTGTTAACATGGAGGAGGCGGAGCTTATGAGCTGGGCAACAGCCAGCCAATCAGTCGATGTCAGCTTCCCCAGATCCATATACTGGTTAGGTTAGGGACGAGGTTCATGCTTGGAGCATTAGGTGCACGGGCATGACCTTTGCTTTATGATATTTAGAGTCCCAGCTCCCTAATTGTGATTAAAATATAAGAAATTAATATAAAAATGTAATAAAAAAATAAAATAAATAAGACCCTCTTCCTCATGCCTCTTCAAAATAAAGAAGAAAGGGGTGAGGGCTTAAAAGACTCATGACTACTGGAGTCCCTCCTTCATTTCAACCCAACTCATTTAGTTTTGGAGGCCTCAGGAATGGGCTCACCGACAGAGGTGGTTAAAAGGTGGTTCAGGTTGGAGGTTAGGTTTAGGCCCTCGTTCCTGCGGTTAGGTTCAGGGAAAGCGGTGGGGCAGATAAACTAATCAATCAGATTCAAAATCAAACAACTCAGGCACAGCTGCAGAAGAGAGAGAGAGAGACCAAATGTAGCTCTCTTCACAACAACAGACACAGGGTGGTTCTTTGAAACGGGCGTTTATTGCTGGAGCAATCTTGTGAAGGATCTTCGTCTTTGTATCACATACAAATCATGCCGACAACGCCGTGAGAACTGTATTGGCAAATATATCAAGAAATATTTAAAGATAAAATCTTATACAAATTACAGAATAATTATCTGCTCAAACAAAAGTACATTTGACATAAAACAAATACCTCGTTGCACCGCTTGTCATGAAAAGAGGTTCTTGACTCATTTAAGGTCCTTGTAAAGTGTCTTTCACAGTCTGCTTAAACTTGACACATCAGTGGTAACAGTCTTCATGCATGTTTACGCAAATTCGCGGGAGGTAACGTGAACTCACCGTACATGTCCGTCCCTTAATTCCGTCGTAGCGGAACCAAAACAAGGAACTTTAGTTCCACATAGAAACAAAGATTTTAACAGTGTTTTTAACCTTTTAGCTTAACATACATGAATTATTATTTATTTATTTATTTATCGAATACATCAAATTATGACAATATGAAATCATTTATGACTCATGAACTTAAAGTTTTATGTAACAGCACTTACACCAAATTAGTATGCACAAGAGGAACTCATCGGGTCAACTAATCGTCATATTATCCAGATAAGTTTAAAAAAAGATAAGTTGTGAGTGTTTAGCAGTCATAAACATCTAATACAAAGAGAATCATTTAAGTGTTAAGGTTAGGCTTTAGGGTAAGTGCAAGGGTATACGATCAAGCAGCAGGACCCGCGTCAAACAGGCACCGAATGAACAACCAATCATCCTCAGAAAGACAAAGCAACATGTTGTTTGCCTGTTTTTCTCTTTATTCCCGCAGGATCTTGTAGTTCTCCTGTGATCTTGTAGTTCTCCTGTGATGTGTCATGGGTGTGCTGACGTTCCAGAAACGGATCCAGTGTGATAGACGCGAGCCGCCCGACGGAGCGGCTGATGGACCGCGGCGCGCACAGAGTATGTGTGATTTGGGGGTTAGGGTGGACTTGTCAACATCACTTCTGGGGAAGAAAAACATGTGCAAGCTAATCCACATTTCATGAGGATCCTTGTGAAGTTTCAGGCTCACTTTGGGATGAAAATATCTCTCAGCGTGTCTCGTCAAACTGCAAGTACACACTTCAAACTTCAAACCAGGGATAATCATTCCTGGCCATCGTGTTAAGAGCTCGCTGTAATTGTTCAGTCAAGAAGAATAAATTGTCCTGTTAACGGGTTCATCCATGATAACAGGGAGAGTCACTTCTAAAGTTCATGTAAACGCATTAAAATGAGAACAACAGTAAGGACACACATCCAGTTCACTTCACTGTTAGCATCCCAGCAATTACAAGCACGCACACACACACACACACACACACACACACACACACACACACACACACACACACACACACACACACACACACACACACACACACACACACACACACTCACGCTCCCTGCCTAACGTGGAGCGATCTCTTCACATGGCTGCAGTGCTGGAGAAGAATTGACCTTTCCATCAAGTGCTGTGCTGTAATTTGGAGTTAGTACAGAATACAGAGGGGTTTGTTCTCATCAGGATCTGCAGTGCACAGCGTCATATGCTTCAGTCGCTGGTTGTGGAGGAGGGCTAGGGACGTCTGGTGTACTGGATTTAAAGGGGGGCAGGTTTTTTTCTGGCTGTGTACTAATGCTGCACGTCCATCCTGTCTCTATGACAACAATCTGTTGACAACGGCCGCTGTATGACAGACACTGCTCCGTTCCTTTTGACTGCATGTTTTTGGTTTGAAATGTTTTTTTACCCCAGCATACAAGGAGCGAAGAGGATTAGTTTACAGGGAATATCATACATCTGGAATAGAGCTCCAGTGACCCTTACAGAGCCTTTCTGAAAAGTAGAACGATTTTCAACTTGAGAGAGAGCGTCCACACAAAAAATGTGGAGCACTCAGAACAAAGATGCTGGGTGGACACGGGGCCTAAGTTAGAGAAATATCTGTACTGTGTATTAGAAATATCTCTGCATTGCAGCTATGGTTGGGTAATGGACAAAGTTTTTTTTTGTAGTGATGATTTAGGCAAACTAAAACATTTACCTGTTGTCCATTACAGTTTGAAATCGTCTTCTTTGTAAGGGATGAGATACTCCAGGGTTTCCCACAGTCTGACACTTTATCACCAATTTGTATTAGGTTTGGTTCTTCCTTGATATTCTCTGTGTAGATATTGTGCTTCATTCTCTAACTTTTTAGTGTAACTTTATTCTGCTCATGGGGCGCTGTTATCCTAGTGGTTAGTTTGCACTTCACATGAACAGAGCCTTAAGTCCTCCACAGCGAGCGGCCTGGGTTCAAATCCAACCTATGGTTCCTTTCCTGCATATTGTTTCCCACTCTCTCTCTTCCCAGTTTCTGACTGTGTCGACTGTCCAAGCATAATTCTTAGAGACAAATCTGCTCATCATACTTCCCTCCCATTGACTCATCTATACACACACACACACACACACACACACACACACACACACACACACACACACACACACACACACACACACACACACACACACACACACACACACACACAGACAGCGTGTTCCCCCCTCCTCATTCTGTGGTTTTATTGTGTTTTTTTGTGTTTCAGCTTTCTTGACAGCATTCATCAGCAGTAGGTTGAAGACCCTCAAATAACATTATTTATATTTGATTATCTGTAAATCAGCGATCATCCCAAACTAAGAGTGCAGGATGACTTAAGCAGTGAGCAGCTGGAGATAAATATTAAGGTGACAACCTAACAAGTCAACAAGTCTTTGTACCTCAATCACTGCGTTGACGAGATGAACATACAACCACGGACCGACCTCTGTCTCTTTCTCTTTGGTGGCCCGCCCTTGTGAGTAGAAAACGCTGTACACACCAAACTACCACTGAATCTTGAAAAAGATTCTCGCTGGACAACCAAGGGGCAGGGCATCAGAATATCCCCGCCTTGGCCCTAACTCCACATTTGGAGTGCCTTAGCCTGGGCAGCAGCTGTTAAGACCAGGGCTGCCAGGGGAGGGGATGAAATCAACCAATGGGACACCAGAATGAGTTAGTAATTAGTAAGAAGTTGTTAGCAGAGTTGGTTTGCACAACAATCTTGGCGTGCATACCCGAAACAAGACTAAAATATTTACGGAGCATCAAACATAATCTGGAGCATCGGTTCTGCCTGAACTGGATCTGATGCTCTCGCAAGAGAAAGAGAATCTTTATCGATAAAAACTTCACTTGGCATACATTTGCACCAGTGGTAGTTCTCGACCATTTTTACTGAGGGGGCCAAACGGGGGCCAGTTGTTTCATCAGAGGGGAACATTAAACCCAGGTGAAAAATAGACAAAGATGATCGCTTAACAAATATATATATATAATATGCCAAATAATAGCGCACATCATTAAATACCATGATTTATATTTGTTTCAGTAACAGAATTTAATACTAGATTGTGAGTCGAGTTGTTGAGTCAAATACTAGTGTGTTATTAGGGGGGCTCTTCCTTTTGAAGGGATGGCCACAGGAGGGACCAAGCTCAGAGTTTCCCCTGTTGCCCCCTGCCTAGAACCACACATGATTTGCACTTCAATCTTAAAGTGGCTGCTGTCACTGTCATTAACACAGCAAAGAACACATTTTTAGATAACACATTATCAACCTATTATCAAAGCACATGGTAGCCTGTGAGTTGGCCAGAAGTCTACACTTCCTGTCTCTAGACTCTTAAATCTATTTTTAATATCACTACGTGCTTATAAAGCATGCTATTGTATTTGAACCATTCACAGGACATTGAATTATCATTTACATAACGACATGACAGAGAGTCCGTGTATTGTTGGTGGTTACAACGCACAGGCTTAGTGAAACATTGAGTCTCTACAGTCATTGTATCGACGGAGGGTTTATCAAAACAAAGGACTCAGAAGGAGTCCAGAGTCAGATTTATAACACCTGTTCATGTACATGTAAGCGCATACAGTACACGGGTATTTAGTCTGCAGAAACTCAGTCATGCATGAACAATAAGGCTTGAATTGAAAATATATATAAATATATAAAAAGCTCATAATAATATGAATTAATATTCATGAGGAAACTGTAGCAACATGCCTCAGTGCCCATTAGAATATGTAATGAAGACTCAAAGGGGCACCATTCATACTCAGTGTCAGTACGGTGGTCTCCGGTTTCTACTCCTCTGAATGCTCAAAGCTCTCTTACAGATTTACTCACTAGGTTTACTCACAGCTGTGCTTACCTGCCTTCACTCAGTCACTCACCCTGCACGCTCCAGACAGCCACATCCACCTACTCCGCCATCTAAACTCACCTGTGCACACAGCTGCCTCTCATCTGTAATCAGGCCAGTATAAAAGCCTTTCCTGTTCACTTAGACACTTCCAGATTGTTCTTTTGTTTTCACCCTTGGATTGATTACCCAGTACTGCCTCTGCCCGTCTCTGACCACAGAACCTCGTCACTCTCATGGTAAATGCTTCAGCCTTCTGTTTCTGACCTTTAAGTTCTGCCTCTGTGCTCGACGTTTCCCAGCATTGACCCAACAGTGAGAGAAGAAAGGATGAGCATCCAAGAAATGGACCATGTTCCATTTAAAGCTGTGATTTACTTTGTTTCCTGCCTTAATCTTTCTTAATTTTTTAAACTGAAAAAGTTGTATCAGTCAAAGATAATCAGCTTAAAGTTCAGTTTGTTTTTTAAACTCGACAATAACATGCAAAACATCGATGAGGCCCAAAGAGAGCAAAGCTGTTTCTGCAGGGTGGTTGACGTAACCAAAGATAAAACACCATTAAAAACTAGATGTACTAGTAAACACCATAGTGAAGCTCATGTTGCTGATTGGAGCTAGATGTGATTATCACCATAAGAGGCTCAGAACATGTGTAAGTCATGCAGCTGTTGTTCTGTTTGGGTTTCTTTTTGCACACAGGCGCTGCTTGTCAACAGGCAAGCCAGGCAACTTCTCGGGTCCCAGTAAGGGGGCCTCAGAGGGCTGACAATCTTTAAACCAAAGCAGTGGCCCAAAATATGCTATTTTTTAACGATAGTAGGAAACCTCCCATCTACCAGCATCCACTCTCGTTGCCCTGCTAAGCGTGGCGTGCATGATTGCTGTGAAAACCAAAGTTCGTCAATGAATTCAACAAAGAAAAATAAAGAGGAATTATCCATCTACAGGAGAGGAAAAAAAACAGGAAAAAAGAGGAAGAAGTGGCAGACATGATGGTGATGAACGCTGGTTGGAAGGCCCCCCCAATTGATTTTTTTGCCCAGGGCATCAATAAAATCACAACTGCTCATGTGTCTCTAATCCGTCTACAAACCCCCCAATGATAAGAAAAGTCCATCCTCTCTGTCTTCTGCCTGCTCCACTTTTCAGAAAATGTGTGCTCAAACAGGCCGTTTGGAGATTTTCCCTTCATGACATCACAAAGGGCAGTAACCCCTCCCCCAGGTGGGTGACACTCCCACAGCTAGGTGTTTGTTCTGCCCTCTGAGTCTGCCTTCTCACCTTAAACAATAGGACATGGAGCGAGAAAGACCGAGACACCTAAGTCCTTCCAGAGAGGGGGCGTGGTCAGACACAGCTCATTTACATATTTAAAGGTACAGACACAGAAACAGCCTGTTCTGAGCAGGGCTGAAATAGAGGGGTTTATAGTCATGATCAAATACTGGATCAGAGTGGATTTAGAACAAGAAACTTCACACACATGTTTTGAGGAGCTATGACACTTATTTAAACTTTTTGAAGAGGAGGAGGATATGTGACCTTTAAAACACAGTTCATGAACACACATCACACATGTATAAAGTGATGGTGGTCAGGCGGCATCACTGAGATCTTCATGCATTATTTACTCACTCGCATTCTTATCTCTGCATCTTTTTCTGGTCTTACCATCATGTTGGCGACCGCCGGAGACGTTAATTCTATCAAATAAAGAAAGGTGACTCTGTGGCTGTGGACCCACTCAGCACAGGTCTTCACTAAGACGACCTCCTCTGTTTGTTTCTTTTAGCACAGAATACAGCCTCACAGCAGAGCGGCTATATCTATTAGTATCCATGGTGACCACCGTTTCCTGCCTGTGCCCCACAGTTTACCTTTTTATTTATACCTTCTGTCTTTACACTGAGAGCTCTCCAGAATAACAAGTGTGACTCTCTTGCAGAGTGGAGTGTTTCAGAGAGGGACTGATTTGGGAAACGGCCTTTTGTTTGAAGTGTTTGTTTTCAGCTCGGTCCACATCCCCTGACAAACAGTTTATAGAAAGCAGAGCAGAGAGACAGAGCCAGAGTCAGGGCCACAGCTCAGGGGCTTTATCATGTTCTTATGGTATAATTAATATCATAATAATCAGGAACAAGATCTGGCACAGATCAGGACCGGCACCTATTTGATTGGATCCAGCACTTCCTTTGTCACAATCTATGAATTCAGAGATTTTGTTTCCTCATTCATATTAGCAGCATGCTACCAGAGACAAAGACAGTAACAGTGTTTTATAGTGAGCATAGATCTGTAGAAAGTAGAAGTGTTTGAAGTGTTTTACATTCAGCTCAGAGTGTGCACTCGATGGGGATAGATCTTTTTATTTGGTGTTTGTGTGTAAAGTTTTGAAGCCCAAGTTTCACCTTTAGAAGAGTCGATAGCGTTCTGAATGTAGGTTTGCTTTTGCAGGCGATATGAGATGTTTGTATTTTTTTTGTCGATGTTTTTTGTGGAGTTTCAGGAGTTGTTCATGCAGAAGAGAAAACTGTTACATGCATGTCATAGAGAAATGAAGCCGTCTGTCTGCAGCCGTCATGCAGACATGAGATGGACCAGGAGTTACTTTAGTGTGGCATCTTGTTCACCTCAGTGTATCCCTCACTGTTCTCCTTTCCCATCCCATCTCTTATTAGTCTCTCATTACCCCCCCTCCACCTCTGAATGATTTATATCTTCATTTATTTTCAGGATCAATCTGAAAATCAAAGACACAAACTAGTCTCCTCCTCACTGTCCGTCCTGCCTTATTTAGATAAGGGCTGTGTGTGTGTGTGTGTGTGTAGCCCTGTGGCAAACATCAGTCAAAGCTATCCTTGGCCATTAGGCTGTCAAATAATCTACATTTCCAAGGAGCAGTGAATGCATCATGTCTCTCTCTGACTCACTTCAGGAGTGTCAGTGAGGATTTGTGAGGCCATCAGTTTATTTGTCTCTGTCTTTGTGACATGCCTACGTTTCCTTTTGCCTATTCTTTTGTATAGGTATACCTCAGGTCACGTGACTGCCTAGTTCTGCACAGCGTTCCAATCGTTGTTGGAAGACATCCATAAAAATGTAACAGAAATCATTATTTATTGTATAGGAGCTTAGTTTGATGTCTAGGGTCTGATGTAACCCGTTTTAATAGCCACGAACTGAACGTCCACTTCCTTCCGGTTCGTTGTTGATCGCGTCCATAGCAACCACCATAGCAACAGTAGAAAACGTACCATTCCAACGTTTTTCTCACGAGACCTGAAAGAATCTTCGTAGAAACGAACAACCTAAAGATCATAAACATAAACCGAACAAAGATTATGAAGATACAATG